CCTATGAATCATCAACTCCAGTCCCTGTCAAGGAGGCACACTGGGGAATCGAACTCCGAACCTCTGGCTATATAGCCTAAAACACTGAGCTATCTTCCCTCTTTGCTCCAGAAAAACCCACTAATTCTCTTCTGTTTCTTATCCCACGAGGCTCGTGCACTAATCCCTGGCTCGGAAGACAGGAATACTGGAAAGGAGCTCAGGGGGTGCTCGGGGGTTCTTACCTCATACAGATATTTCAGAACTCAGAAATAAAGTCTTCAAGTAATAACATTACTTGCATCAAATTCCTTTTGGGAGTTTATGTTGAAACTGACACACCTCTATGCCAAATTGCACCATATACCATGAGGATGCAACACTATTTCTTTTGTGATGTAATGCTTTTTTGGTGAAATAACACCTGCACTTACATATCTGGAGCTCAAGGAATACTGCTAACTCACAGTAACAATACAAAACAGTCCCAAATGTGCAAAGCAGTGCAGAACTGTGTCTTCTGTTGGCCCCATAGCAGAGCAACATAATGAATGCTCTAGTCCAGTGGTCCCCAACCTTGGGCCTCCAGATGTTCTTGGACTTCAACTCCCAGAAATCCTGGCCAGCAGAGGTGGCGGTGAAGGTTTCTGGGAATTGTAGTCCAAGAACATCTAGAGCCCCAAGGTTGGAGACCACTGCTCTAATCACTCCAGGAAGTGTGGTCATAATCTTCTCTAAAAGAAATGGAAACAACTCCAGGAAGTGTGGCCATAATCTTCTCTAAAAGAAATGGAAACAGTACAGGGAAAAACCCTTGGACCACCTTTGTGGTTTCTCTGTTCAAAAATAAATAAATAAATAACAGCAAGTTTGGAGTTAGGTGTTTGCAATGAGCAATGAAACACAAATTATTTATGAAAAAATAATGAATGATTTTTTCAGATCTCCCCTCACGCTCAGTGTAATTGATGATTTGCTTTTAATATTGATGTAGGCATTATAAAGGCATATAAATCATGCATTGTTGAATATGGATATTAAAATTAGATGTGATTATAGAGAAGCTAAAAGATGGAGGATAAACATATATATATTTCAGCATTAAAATATAATGCTGAAAGAAACAATAGAAGCATGGGAAATCAATAATAGAGAGGGTTGCAATGAGAGTTTAGTTTGGGATATAATGAAATAAAATAAAGAGGATTAAGTATTAAGAAATCATATGATTTTAAAAAGACAAAAGGACAAACATGAAAAAGGTTGAAGAAGAAATAAGAGTGTCATAGGAGAATTTTAGAAAAAAGAGAGATATAACAATCTCGGCAATGGAGGAGGCATTTGGGAGTGATCATGTCAGCTGCCTTGGTGGCGTCGGCATGCCACCTATTCACCAGAGCTTCAAGAGGAGTGTCAACTAGATCAGCCGATATTACCTGCATTACATCCTGGAAGCCAACAGGATCCAAAAGCCTGCAGAGGCGGACCATCTTAATAGGTCCCTGCTCCCCGCGGAGGGAGGGTGCCACTGAGAGGTTGCATTTTATCAGATGTTGGTCCAACCAGGACAAGGGAACCAAAATCATGTTGGTTACCTTCGGATCACACTTTCCCTGACCAATTGAGAACACCAGGTCCAAGTGTGACCTGCCATGTGGTTGGGGCTGTTAACAAATTGGAACATGTCCAAGGAAGCCATGGTTTCCATGAACTCAAAGGCTGAACTTGTGACCCCAATCTCAGCATGGACATTGAAGTCACCCAGGACAATTAGTCTAGGGGACCTCAGTGCTGCCGCTGAGATGAAGTTCGGCAGCTCCGGAAAGGAGAGCATTGGATCACAGGGGTAAACCAGCACCATCCCAAATTTTTCCCTGGTCGTCCCCCCCCCCCAACATGTGAAGGCCCGAGACAGTCAAGGCAGAGATCCCGACAACCTCTAAGTGTTTTTATAGATAATGGCAACTCCCCCTCCCCAACCCTCCAGTCTACCCTGATGTTGGATGGAATATCCAGGTGGGCAGATTAAAGAAGATTACACCACCTTCTGCACCCACCAAGGTCTGTCCAGGTGGGCAGATTAAAGAGGGTTACACCACCTTCTGCACCCACCAAGGTCTCGGTAACACAAGCCAGATCTGCTGTTTCATCCAAAATTAACCCCTGGATTAGTTGGGCTTCGTTTAAAGCAGATCTGGCGTTTAGTAATATGAAGGATAGAGTGTTCATCAGAAGACTCTAATATCTGAAGTCAGGATAGGCCTGTGTCTGGAAGATGTCTTCTTTCATGTTCCCACCTTATCTCCTTCCTTCACTTTTACTGACATATAGGCATCCAGATATAACTAAACCGTCTCCCAAGGACAGCTCAAACAGACAAATGCTCAAATACTCCTTATACTCTCTCTTTCTCTCTCTCTTGTATTTTCCTTTTTAAAGAATTTTCTATTTAAGAATTGGAAGGCTGAGAATAGTTCCTTTATTTTGTCTTGAATATAGTTTTCCAAAACAAGCACTAAATAGTAGTTGTAGTAATAAAGTAATAAATATAATAAAGTGTTTTTAAAGTTTTTAATAATCCTGGCTAATGTTCAATATTTTTAACATAGTTTTCTATGGTATTTTAACTTATTATTGTATGATTTTAATTGTTTTGAGCTGCCTTAGGTCCTCTATGGAAACAAAGGCGGCATGTAAATAAATAAATCACATACATGATTTTATGGATGATTAGGTGAAGAACTACACATAATAATAAATAATAATAATAATAATAATAATAATAAGTAGTAGTAGTAGTAGTAGTAGTAGTAGTAGTAGTAGTAGTAGTAGTAGTAGTAGTTTATTTACGGTCCTTAGACCAGTCATATAAGTATAAAACCTTATAATTTCTAACTTTCAATATTCCATTAGAACATGTTGGCATACATACAGCTAGGAGCTACTATCTAATTGGTACTGAACTACAGTTTTAGGTAACCAATTATATATAAACACACAGAAATTTTGTGACAATACAATTCTAAACTTTATTTTTCTGATTCATTCCGCAGGAACTGGATAGCAATATTGTATGGTATACATTTAGAACTTACGCTTTTGGAACTATTGTTTTACTTCCTGCTTTTCCACCTCATTTTGCTATGAGAAGCGTTTCTGACTACAAGGTAAAATAATAAAGTGTATATGAAGTATCTTCCATCAGAATGAATAGGTCTCCAGCTAACTGAGAAACCAGGAGCATCATACTTAAATAAAGATACAAGTACAGCATATGTACCAATATTTCACCATGCTAACCCAATGGTCTACAGTAAATTGAGTGTATCCAGGGTAAATCTTAAGAGCCTCTATGTATCTGGTGCTTTCTGCTGATGATTGCAAGTGTCTTGCATTAAGTGGAAACTGAGGGCAGAAAGGGAATTTCTTGGTATTAGCATTGTTTGCCAGGACCCCAAGCCTTACTCCACAGAACAGGAAAATAGTATTTAAGAAGAGGTAAGCAAGGCAAGGCAAAGGTAGAAATTTTGAAGTCCTAGCAAGCAGCCTAGGTGGTGGTAGTCCTTGCAGGGCCAAAGTGGAGCTTTTACTACTGCAATAAAGACAAAAGGAACAAAGAAAAGGGGGATCTGAAATGTCTCATTCATCTCACCATCCAGGTCCCATCAGGCACTTAGATTGCCATCCTTTACCAGGGTCAGTGTCACTGCTGCCGCCATCTTAGATGGGCAGAAATTCCACCTGTCTCTTATTTGGGTTCCACCTCATTTGCTGCAAAGGTAGCATAAGCTGTCCCACTGTGTGAGACTGGAGGACATGGGCTGCATCTCTGCTGCCTCTTTTTGCAGTCAGCAACCCAAATGCCCACTATGCCTACAAGAAAGCTTGCATTCCAGAAAATCCAGCCCATATCTCTCTCTGAGGGAAGTATCAAAACCATACACTGGGAGACGAACCTGTCTGCTTGACATTTGGCTTGAAAGACTCCTGAAGACTCACCTGATGGGTGGGTGGCTGCTCTGGATCACCCTTAGTGGTGGCCCCAGCTCTGGCTAGGTAGTGGAGCCCATCTAAAAGTATTGGGGGGGCAGTTCTGTGGTTGGATATTTGGCCAGAAACAAAGTACACCACTGCTATATTGGGCTGTAATTGATATACAGTGTAATGGATTATTATTTCCCTCGGACTGCTAATCCATAACAGGAGCATGGCGAGACCTCTAATGAGAAGTATGGGCATCCTCTTTCCATTCATGTGGGTAACACGTGCCCTGAAGGAGCAGCAGAAATCAGGCTACTGATTATCTTGAAGCAGGTTTTAATCAGAAAATGAAGAGATGTTTCAAGCTAAACAGACTATGTATGATACTTCAGAAATTCACAATGTATTTAGAATAACTGGTGGAAAAAAAATAATATCAGCACTGAGCTATTAAGCTTGTATGATCATGTTAGTAGAAGAGGCCTCAAAGAAATCAACATTTTTTTTTCATCATTTCCTTTTCCAGAGAAAAACTCATTCTCAGCTGCGAGTCTCAGGAATCTTTCCCTCTGCCTACTGGTTTGGACATGCCCTGGTGGACATTACCCTTCACTGCATTCTGCTCTTACTAGGGTTTTGGCCCTGGTTTCTTAGATTTTCCGTTAAAACAGTTCAAAGAACTGCCACCATAATTTTCTGTTTTGTAAGTATGATAACTTCTAAAAAAAATTGTCTTAACCTACTTTGTATTACAAACTTTGGTTAGAAACCTAGATAGTTAGGAAGCTTCCTTCTCACAGGCTTTGAATGGTAGAGCTATCTGTCCTGGCTTGCAAATTCCAGATCTGGAATAGCTATCCATCAGTAGTAAGGCCAGGTTGAGACAGAAGCAAAAGACCAGAGCCAGCAATTAGGTGGGACTGTTGACTCTATCTTCATATATATCTATGCAGGCAGCAACATTAGAGGACCAAATCACACATGCTAGAGTTTCAAAGGTTTACTCATACTCTATCATTGACTTGCAGTGCATGTCTGCATGGTTTGGTGTGGAATGAATAGTCCCTACATTATGCAAAAGGAATGGGGGGGCATCCCCATTAAAGTCATTCTGTAATACAAAATCATTAACATGGTTAAGAGAGAAACGACACACACTTTCTTCCTTTCACAAAAGGAATGACAAGTCTGAAGATGAGAGGGTCATTGCTTGCTTGTGTGCTCCATACGTAAGAAGGAAACCTAGGAAAATCTGTTTCAGAGTTGTAGCTTTGTTAGTCTGCACAAGCATTTCAACAAGAAACACAAAGCAAAAAAAAATGTTGTGACTCTATAAAGATGAGCTGCTATAGTCTATAGGGAAAATCTGGGTTTTAATCTGGGTTTTTTTACTCACTTGTTGGGCCTACTGTCTTGCTACAAACTGTCCTACCATAGGCAAGGGGTTCTTTTTCATCTACGGCAATGACACACCAATGAAGCAAAAAGGTTGCAAAACTTCATTGAAAGAAGAGAAAGAAAAAGAGAATCCACAGTAAAATAAGTATATAATAGAAAGCAAAGGAGTACGACAAGGCTGTATATTGTCCCCCAGCTTATTTAACTTATATGCAGAATGTGTCATGCGGAAGGCTGGACTGGAAGAAACCCAAGCTGGAATTAAGATTGCCGGAAGAAATATCAACGACCTCCGATATGCAGATGATACCACTCTGATGGCAGAAAGTGAGGGGGAACTAAAGAACCTTGTAATGAGGGTGAAAGAGGAGAGTGCAAAAAACGGTCTGAAGCTCAACATCAGAAAAACTAAGATCATGGTCACTGGTCCCATCACCTCCTGGGAAATAGAAGGGGAAGACATGGAGGCAGTGACAGATTTTATTTTCCTGGGCTCCATGATCAGTGCAGATGGAGACAGCAGCCCCAAAATTAAAAGACGCCTGCTTCTTGGGAAGAAAGCGATAAATAAAAAAAACAACTAACCATAGTGCAAAAAGATAAAATAAAGCAAAAATATGACCCCAAAAGCAATTTTGCCACCAGAGGTCCCAGGAAATGGTAGCAGGTTTGTTCCATTCCAAGGCTCCACATCATTTGTGGAGCCCACAGCTGTAAGGACTACACAGGATCCTTGTACGGAAACTCTGCCAGGAATTATTTGGCTGACCAAAAAGAAAAAAGCAAAGCATGCTGCTTATATACCGCTCCATAGTGCTTCAAGCACTCTCTAGGCGGTTTATAAGTTAATTATGCAGGCTACACATTGCCCCCCCCCCAGCGAGCTGGGTACTCATTTTACCGACCTTGGAAGGATAGAAAGCTGAGTCAACCTGGAGCCGGCTACCTGGGATTTGAACCCCAGGTCGTGAGCACAGTTTTAGCTGCAGTACAGCGGTTTAACCATTGTGCCATGAGGCTTTGATACCGTGCTGGATGAACGAATGCCCTTTCCAGGTGATAACTGCACCTTTTCATGATAAGGACCGCTCTTCCCAGAAACTTAGTAATCATATACTTTGGCAGTGACAGATTTTACTTTCTTGGGCTCCATGATCACTGCAGATGGTGACAGCAGCTACAAAATTAAAAGACGTCTGCTTCCTGGGAGGAAAGCGATGAGAAACCTAGACAGCATCTTAAAAAGCAGAGACATAACCTTGCCAACAATGCATAGTCAAAGCTATGTTTTTTCCGGTAGTGATGTATGGAAGTGAGAGCTGGACCATAAAGAAGGCTGACCGCTGAAGAATTGATGCTTTTGAATTGTGGTGCTGGAGGAGGCTCTTGAGAGTCGCCTGGACTGCAAGAAGAACAAATGTATCCATTCTAAAGGAAATCAACCCTGAGTGCTCACTGGAAGGACAGATTCTGAAGCTGAGGCTCCAATACTTTGGCCATCTTATGAGAAGAGAAGACTCTCTGGAAAAGACCTTGATGTCAGGAAAGTGTGAAGGAAAGAGGAGAAGGAGACAACAGAGGACGAGATGGATGGGCAGTGTCATCAAAGCTACCAACATGAATTTGACCCAACTCCAGGAGGCAATGGAAGACAGGAGGGCCTGGCGTGCTCTGGTCCATGGGGTCACAAAGAGTCCGACACGACTTAACGACTAAACAACAAAACTCTGGCCAGACAGTTATTTGTCGGGTGAGGAGAAATAAAACTGCAAACAGCACAGGGAAATAGAGAGCCCCTAACATGAGGTGTTTGGAGAACTCTGCTTTTCAGAGAGACCTTTCTCTGCCATCTGGCTTGATCCTTATGCTCCCAACTCTGCCTTTTATTTGGAACCTATTCCTGTTGGGGTTGCTTGATCATTATACAACAGTTTTCATCCTTTTTGATTGTGTTTTATTTTAACCAATGTTGTAAACTGCCCAGTATAGTGCTTTGTACAAATGGGGTGGTATATAAATTAAAGAAATAAATTCAATAATAAATAAATAAATAATTTCTCCCTGAGCTAGGAAAGGTCCATAAACGCCTATATCAAAATGGACATGTGTGTGATATATGCCTGTATCTACAGTATATGCAAGTAAGGTTAGATAAAGAGTTTGGGAACAGAGGGTAACTGAGACATACAGTTCCACAATACCTAGGAATAGAATAAGGTTCTGGCAGTGGCGCTACCCTGACCTGCAGGCATACTTTCTCCTCCTTGGACCCACTGCGTGATCAAGCCATGAGGGGAAGGGAATGGGGCTGTCTTCTCTAATGGTGCTCATGATTCTGTGTTACAGAATGACTGACTGAATAGGGCTAACTGATGGATGCGATTCTGACATCATCCAGAAACAAGTAGGGGACATTTCAGACTCCCAGGTTCCACCACTGCTGACCAGAGACTGATAAGTAACTCTAGAAACCGCTGAAAAATGGTTTTCTGATCCAGCAAAAGTGCTTATTAGTAGCTAAATTTCTTCTGTAAATAATCAAGTAGTACTTAAGCAGGACTGGTGGGACCGGCTAGCTTTCCACTTCATCTCTCTTCACCGCAGTCTGCTAGCACGCCTGCCAGTGGTGTCTTGTGAATTAGTCCCCAGGTAGCTCCGAAACACATCTCCAGTGTTATATTGCTTTAAAAAAATACTAAGACAATGTAATACAGTGGAACTTTCACTTACGAACGTCCCTACCTACGAACATTTTGACTTATGAACCACTCTGTTCACAGAATTTTGCTTCGACTTGTGAACGGAGCTTTGACTTATGAACGGAAAAAAGTGTTCTGTTTAAAAGGGGTTCTCTCCTTTTAAAAGGTGTTCCCTCCTTTCCTGCCCTTTTTTTGTCACCTAAGTTGATCTTAGGTCAAAAGAAGAAAAAAGAAAAAATTCTCCCTCTAGTAGTAGAGTATGGATTAACTGGCTTTGCATTAGTTCCTATGGGAACTAATGCCTCTACTTGTGAACAGCGCCTCTAGATAAGAATGAAAAACAGCCAGAACGGATTAAATGGTTTTCATTGCATTCCTATGGAAAATTTTCCTTCAACTTACGAACGTTTGGATGTACGAACACCATTCCAATACGGATTAAGTTCGTAAATTGAGGTTCCACTGTATCTAGTGCTAGGTATCACATATATTTGCCATTTAAAGTGGGGGAACAAACACCCCATTATCTCCCTGTTAATAGGGTTCTTCTTCCTAACAGGTGTCCTTTATATTGGGCTACAGCTTCTCTGTTGTTTCATTATTGTATGTGGTTTCCTTTACCTTTCGCAACAAAAGGCATCCTAGCAGTTTTTGGTCATTCATCTTAATTCTGGTAAGTATATTGCCAGATAACTGGTTGCATTACGGATTTAGATCCATAATTTGTCCTGCTCAATACTTGTAGATGTGTTTATATTAAGTTACAGTAGTATGTAACAGAAGTTTGTGTGTCAGGACTGTCTTCACCAAGTTTTTCACACAGCTTCAGTATTATACATTCAGCAGAAATGGGTACGAACAGTAAACCTATGTATGTATGTATGTATGTATGTATGTATGTATGAATACAGAGTGTGTAATACTGCACATTGATGACCTTTAGTGTAACTGCATCAGACTCTCAAGCAACAGCATGAAAAAAAAATGTTTCTGCAGTGCAGTGTTAGTTATCACTTCGGCATTCCCATTTGAGTTGAATCAATCTTTGAGAAACTGACACTACAGACAGTCTTGTCTACAGACACTACAGACTACTGAGACAGTCTCAGTCTTGTGTTTCTGTTTGCTAATGCATGTGCCATCGTTAGGTGCCACGGAATGGTTAAAAGCTTCCTTTTGTAGCGATGAAGCCATCCTAATCACTTCCTGTTCCCATATAGCTACATTACCTGCAACAATATGGGTCTGTTTTTCAAACACAGCATGCCAACAGCCACTTGGACCCGAGGGGGACTTTTCTCTCTTTCTTTCTCTTCCATTTCCTTTTTCATTTCCATTTACTTTGTAAGATGCCTCAGGCTATATAACTGTTTCATGATTAAACAGGGGAGGAGACTGGCACCACTAGTGTAAGGGCAGAAGTCATGCAATCGTGACATTTTCATCACGGTACAGGATGTGGTGGCGCTGTGGGTTAAACCGCAGAAGCCTCTGTGCTGCAAGGTCAGAAGACCTGCAGTCGTAAGATCGAATCCACGCGACGGAGGGAGCTCCCGTCACTTGTCCCAGCTCCTGCCAACCTAGCAGTTTGAAAGCATGTAAAAATTCGAGTAGATAAATAGGTACCACCACGGTGGGAAGGTAACAGCGTTCTGTGTCTAAGTCGCACTGGCCATGTGACCACGGAAGATTGTCTTTGGACAAACGCTAGCTCTATGGGTTGGAAATGGGGATGAGCACCACCCCCTAGAGTTGGACACGACTGGACAAAAATTGTCAAAGGGAACCTTTACCTTTAACTTTTAGTGGGCTTAGTCCTTTGTTAGATGTCACTATCACACCAATTATCGGGTCTGTCACCATACAATAAAGATTGATTGATGGATTGATTGACTTTCACTCCAAACTGAAAAGAACTGCCATGGTTAAATGACTCGTGTCCCTGTCCCTTCATACATGTGGTGAATACTAAGACTGCTTCTGGAAGTACCTCCTTTTTTTGCACATGTACTGACGGCTTCAGTGCAACACATGCCAGAATTCCACTCAAAATGTACATATCCTATGTGGTTGTGCAATGAAAACTAGAAGCCAGTCTGGGAAAACAGTCCAATCATGATTAACTATTCATATAGTGAATTACTGGAACAGTGGGTGGGGTATTTGAAATAGCTCTTCTTATAATATACAATAATTAAACAGCTGAGGAAATGTGTTTTTAAATTTCTTCTTTATTTATCTTGTATTACATTTTAGATAATAAGGTAAGCAAATCGAGGAACTTATAATTTTCAATAGCAAATTGAAAAATAAAAATGAGAGAAGAGGAAGGAATATGAATAACTGCAATTATATGTACTGTCTCTTTCTGCCGGGGTGATAATTATAATGTTAAGCCATAGGTTTTATGGAAAAGGAAAGTTGGAAAGTTTTCTGCTGAAAAAAATTGATGCTTTCTTTTTCCATTTTAGGCAGCTGTTTTGACTATGTCGCTAATGAGTATTTTCGCACTTGAAGGTTTTTATTTGGATTACTTGCTGAATTTGATTCTTCCTGCAACTCCGTTATTCAGCTTTTTCATTTCCATCGTCACTGTAAGACAAAGCACAATATTTTTGTCTCTGTTGTAATTCTGTAGAATTGAATTGTGCTGTCACTACAACTGTTACAATGTATTTTTTATACAAGCCTCTGTCATGTTGAAGGCGATACAAGAGTATCCTAATTTTTTAATGGGAAAAGATAATTCGTCATTTAGGAAATCCTTCTGTGTTTTTTTTTAAAAATCAAATTTGTGTTTAAAAAGTATAATTTGGATCCATAATCATATGAAAAATAAGCGTATTATCAATGAGTCATAAATCGATGGTATCATAAATATTAATCTGTCTATTCAGTGAATGAGAAATCTAAACAATTCTAAGTAGACACAAGAGTCAGAAGAGGGATTACTTGGTTATTCAGGGTAAATTTCTACCATGTTGGGGAATAGCAATTGATAGATATACTGTTCATTTTAATATTTTATATAAAGATTATCAGATTTTGAAAATTAGAGCCTGTTTTTTCTATGGTGAGATATTGTTCAGGTTAGTTTTCATTTTATAATATACACTTTAACATCTCGAGGATAGTATTATTGATTGGACTGATTCACTGGGGATGAAATCAATAAATGATAATCAATTCTGTCATTGTATAGATACTCGCTCCGTATACTGATCACTATGAGGAACTAACGACGGAATATGTGAATGAACTTCTGTTTTTTTCCTTTGTGGTAAGAAATGAGCATATCATTCTTATTTATAAAAGAGAGAATCTTTGCCAAAGCAGTGGTAATCTTGCTGTCAGCAATTAGTCTCAAAGTAGTATGATAGGTGATACATCTGTTATGGAGCATCAGATCAGTTTATACTACACTGGGAGTAAATTTCCCATGTTCCTTTGAGGAGTTACCTTTCTATATCCAGCTGTTCCAAAATGGAATGCTTGTAGTGAGCAATAAGCCGTATGTCAAGCCAGAATCAAATTACAAATTTGATGCTTAAAAATGGGAATCAGTTGCTTCTTATCTAACTGTGGGGACTGAGAATTGCTGGTATAAATCTCATCCCATTTCTGCACTTACTTGACCATACTTTTATTGTTTATCCTTCCTCTCCCCACCCCGATGAAACTACAGAAATAGTATCTTGTTTCTTAAAATGGTTGTGGTTTAAAAAGAGAAAGGGAAGTCAACAAGTACTAATTACTTAGCACATTAAAGCTCTGTTTTCCAAGTTGTTATGCCCATGTGTTCAAACTACTTCAGTGAAACCAATGTCCAAATAATGGCACTTGTGGAGAGAACCATGGCTTAGACCTGTCAGAGAAGTAGGAGGAGTAGAAGAAAATTCTGATTTCTCTGGATTACCCTTCCTGATAGCCATAGCACTGTTCTGGAAGGTTCCTTGATTATCTAGTGTTAGAACTGAAGGATTGCAGGTGGCTGGGGTAGAAAGAATGATGTGGAAGAGACCCATACCACTTGGATTTCACAAGAAATGGGCACACAAGATGTCGAGCTGGATAAACGCATTGGCAAAGCAGCTACCATGTTCTCAAGACTCAAAAAAAGAGTATGGCTCAATAAGAAGCCGACAGCATACACCAAGATCCAGGTCTATAGAGTCTGTGTCCTGAGCACACTCCTGTACTGCAGTGAGTCCTGGACCCATTGTGCACAACAGGAGAGGAAGATGAACACGTTCCATATGTGTTGCCTCCAACGGATTTTTGGTATCACCTGGCAGGACAAAGTTCCAAATAGAGTAGTCCTAGAACGAACTGGAATTTTTAGCATGTGTACACTACTGAAACGGCGACGTCTACATTGGCTTGGGCATGTCGTGAGAATGGCTGATGGTCGGATTCCAAAGGATCTCCTGTATGGAGAATTAGTGCAGGGAAATCGCCCCAGAGGGAGACCACAGTTGCAATACAAGGACATCTGCAAGCAGGATCTGAAGGCCTTGGAAATGGACCTCAGCAGATGGGAAACCCTAAGATCTGAGCGTTCAGCTTGGAGGCATGCGGTGCATCACGGCCTCTCCCAATTCGAAGAGACCCGCGCTCAGCAGGCTGAGGCAAAGAGGCAGTCACGAATGCAGCAAAATCAGAGAGCTAGACGGGGTACAGATTGTATTTGTCCTAAGTGTGGAAGGGATTGTCACTCTCGAATTGGCCTTCTCAGCCACACTAGATGCTGTTCCAAGTCCTCCATGCAGAGCACGATACCATAGTCTCTCGAGACTGAAGGATGCCTATGTATGTATGGGCACACAAGGATTTAGCAGCTTAGAAGAATCCCACAATCAATACTTGTCTATTTGGTGAATCATCTAGAGTAGACACCATCTTAATGGTTTCTCCCACTCTTTTGCCTCCCAGTATAAGTGGCAAGGAGTTTCATTCAAAAGATCCTCATAGTATGGGTTTCTTATTCCCTACAAACTGGCAGCCCTTTGTCAGGCTTTTGGCCTAAGAGCTTCAACAACAAAAAATTAACTTTTTGTGTATTGCCATGCATGTAAATACTTTTCCAAGGAAAGATATTTAGGCATTTTCTCCCTGTTCCTTACCAAAAGGAGTTGAAGGAGTAAGGCTCTCCAAACAGTCTGAAATCCTGTTTAACACACAGTCTGAAATTGCATTCCATGGGTATACGGTAGAGCAAATAATGGCAGGGGCAGAAGTGCTATTCATGTGCATTGTGCAACAGTTGAATAGTGAGTCACACAATTGCACAATCAAATTGTGCAATGCTGCTTGCCTACAGATAATGGCTAGATGGCTTTTTCAGGAGTAACTTTACTTTGCACCTACTTGAACAGGATTTCAGCCAATATATAACAAAAAGAAAACTAAAATAAAAAAGCATTATGACTGACACACATGTTTCAGGGCGAGCATTTCTAGATTCATTATCGCAGAGCTGCAGGGCTAGAAGAAACCCTATGGAATACCTGTTAAGGAGGCACAGTGGGGAATAGAACTCCCAACTTTTGGCTGTGCACACAGATACCTATATCACTGAGCTACAATCTACTTCTTGAGATACTTCGTTTTATTTATTTTTGCTGTATTTTTAAGTGATTTTATCAGTCATTGTGGCAAAATGGTGGAGCAGACACACTCTCGGGCTGCCTCAGCTAGCCCCAGAAAATCATTCATGAGAGCAAAAGATCTCTCCAGCTGCTTTCCAGTGACAACAAATGTTACCACAGCAAACACTGGCACACCAATATATTTGAGACATATGCCTTAATGTGGCCTTTGGAGGGATAAGATGGCTGCCGCCTCTGAGAGAATGACAACATTATGAATTAGGCCATCGATAAATGTTGACCCCCCAATTATGTAATGAAACAATGTATGTTCCCTGAGTGTAGAGAAATTTAACCAGGTAGATAACTGAATATATAAAATGTATTATACATCGGTACACTGGTTTAATATATTTTTCTGTCTCCGTTTTATCTAGCCTTACTTCCATGGTATTGTTTTCACTCTTCTACTTCGCTTTCTAGTGGTGAAATATGACAGACCAGTTATGAGAAGAGATCCTATGTTTAGGTTTGTTTATACATTGCTGTTCACATGTACATATGTTCTTCATGTGCACCCGTAGATGCACATACAGTATATCACAGAAGTGAGTACACTCCCTCACATTTCATAAATATTTTAGTACTGTATATCTTTTCATGGGGCAATACTGAAGAAATGACACTTGGCTACAATGTAAAGCAGTGAGTATATAGCTTGTATAACAGTGTAAATGTTGGTGTCCCCTCAAAATAATGCAACACCATTAATGTCTAAACCGCTGACAAAAAAGTGAGTACACCTCTAAGAGACAATGTCCAAACTGGGACCAAGTAGCTGTTTTTCCTCCCTGGTGTCATGAGACCTGTTTTCAATGCCACTATTTTGTTTTCAATGGGAAAAAAATGCAACCACGTAGTTTTCACAAGTATCTCATACAACTTTCAACATTACTTTGCATAAAATATCCTTCAAATGTAGTTTACAATAGGTAAAATATACAATTGTCCCTACCTTTAGTGAGTGGCTACATAAGCAGCAAATTCATAATTTAAAACGGTAGCATATTGAGAGATATACAAAGCTTTTGATATTTTATATACAGATGTTTCTGCCTGGCTCAAAAAGTCATGTTGCATGCCTGGGGCACTTTCCTGCAACAGTAGATACCATTTTGTATGGGTAGGATGTTATAAATTGTTAATTTCAATTTTAATTCAGATCCCAGCTTTGCTTTGGACAGCTTACCACTTTCCTAACAAAAAACGTGATGGCCAAAATCCTATTGCTTAGAGTAGTAAATCACACTAAAGTAGGCCCATTGAGTCATTGGGTATTTAACTAATTAACTTGTCCATAAAATCCATTTAAATAGGCTCACTCTAACTGTGAATTGCTTTAGTATAATAAGTTGCAGTTAGTATAGATCCATTTGAATCAATGGAACTTACAGGATAATTGACTTATATTGATTCAATGGACCTGCTTTAGTATGATTGTGTGTTTTTCTAGTTTTTTTTACTCTAAGCAACAGGATTTGACCAATGTATTCATTACTATGCAGTGCTTTCAAACTTTCTAATTTCCTTGATTGATAGGATTTCTCCACAGAGAAAAAGCAGCCATCAGAATCCCGAAGGGCCCAGTGATGATGAAGATAGAGATGTTCAAGATGAAAAAGCAAGAGTCCAAATTGCACTGACTACTGCAAGTCAAGAAGAGGTAAAGCAGGGATGAGATACTTGAAGAATGCGGTCTACTGTTACTGTTGATGCCAAACGCATTTTCCCCATCAGTTTTTAAAAATGCGTCACTCCTGCAGAAGATGGAAGTGTGTCCATCTCTCATCTGCTCTCATTTTAAAAAAATTATTATGAACACTCTTGGCTACTCAGTTGTCACTCGTTTACATTGAAATACCATATTATGAGTCTGACAGTGTGCCCTTTTAAAAGCTTGCATGAATTAGGTAAAGGTAAAGGTTCCCCTTGACATTTTTTGTCCAGTCGCGTTCGACTCTAGGGGGCGGTGCTCATCCCCGTTTCCAAGCCATAGAGCCAGCATTTTGTCCGAAGACAATCTTCCGTGGTCACATGGCCAGTGCGACTTAGACACGGATCGCTGTCACCTCCCCACCGAGGTGGTCCCTATTAATCTACTTGCATTTGCATGCGTTTGAACCGCTAGGTTGGCAGGAGCTGGGACTAAGCAATGGGAGCTCACTCCGTCGCGTGGATTTGATCTTACGACTGCTGGTCTTCTGAACCTGCAGCACAGGCTTCTGTGGTTTAGCCCGCAGCACCACCACGTCCCTTTGTATGAATTAGTTAAGCACTAAAGCCGTTTGGGGAACTCCAGAGATTGGCATGAATCACCAAACAGGTGGTTTGTCCTTCAGCTGAACAAGTGTTCAGCACTTCCCAACCCTATCTCCTCCGGCGGGCGCCCACTCACAGGCAGTGCCCCAGCTTCACTGCCCTGCCTCCCCCTCCAGGGACTGTCTCTGAATGGTGCCTGCCAGAGGAGGTGGGGCTGGGAAGTGTTCAGCATCTGTTCGGACAAAGGACACACCTCTGGCTCAGCAGTTTGCACCCATCTTCAGAGCAACATAGCTTATATTCAGAAGGCCCCGCTCACTGTTCCTTGGCATGGTCAGATTAGTATATAATCTGACAAGTGGATGATGGGAGGAGCTTCTTCTAGAGATTGGGCTGATTTGTTGCCAATCAAAATAAGTTATATGGAGAACTGTTGTGCTTCCAGTTCCAGTTGCTGGGTGGGAGCAGCTGCTCAGTGTCACTCTGCTTTACCTCCATTTTGTTTTAGTTGCTCATTCAAAAGAGAGGGGGGAAAAACAACTTTAAGACCTTGGGTGTGTTTTTTTCTCTTTTGTTGTCATTTGTTTCCTGCTGGAGTGGATAATACTGAGAGAGAAAAACCAAGTTATCACAGAGCAAATACCAGGGTTTAGGCTGTTGCTTGAAGGTGAATGTCTTTTTTTTTTTTTTGGATCGTCTTTGGTCACTGAAAACTCAAAGTTTTAAGTGACCGGAGGACCTTGATCCCTTTCTACAGACAGCAGATCGAGCGGAGATGTCCAGTGCATTGTCTTCCCCAGCGAAGTTAACTTTCAACCTGTGACGTCCAGTGAGGTGGACAGGGTGCTTGTACGCTGTCATGCCACCACCTCCTCTTTAGACCCTTGTCCAGCCAGGCTCATCAAAGCAGCCAAGCCAGTAACAACAGAATGTGCCACCACAATAATTAATGGGTCTCTCCAGGAGGGCATGGTTCCCCCGCCCTCAAGGAGACACTCATTAGGTCCATTAGAAAGAAACCTAATTTGGCGGTGGATGAAAATGGGAATTGCCAATGTTTCTTTCATGAATAAAGTGGTTGAGAGGGTGGTGGCCGATCAACTCCAGGCCCTCCTGGAGGAAACTGACAGCCTTGATCCATTCCAGTTTGGCTTCAGGCCATGACATGGTATGGAAACAGCATTTTCACCCTGCAGGATGATCTCCTGAGGGAGATTGGGACAATATGTCCTTGTTGGTCCTCCTTGTTATAGGCCCATTGCCAATGTTTCTTTCATGAATAAAGTGGTTGAGAGGGTGGTGGCCGATCAACTCCAGGCCCTCCTGGAGGAAACTGACAGCCTTGATCCATTCCAGTTTGGCTTCAGGCCATGACATGGTATGGAAACAGCATTTTCACCCTGCAGGATGATCTCCTGAGGGAGATTGGGACAATATGTCCTTGTTGGTCCTCCTTGATATCTCAGCAGCCTTTGATACCATCGACCACAGTACCCTCCTGGGGAGGCTCTCTGTTACGCTTCTGGCACAGAGTAAATGAAGACACTTTACCAGTTCTTCTTTGACGGTTATATTTACATATATGTACACTTATATACAGACAGGTCTCTACAGCACATCTAGAAGTCTTCACACAGTCCGACAGCATGCGTGGCAGAAAATCACATCAGAAGAAGAGAACATATCACAGACACAGTCCATATTTATACATAATCTTGTCTCTGTCCAGTCCAATCGGGTTCCAGGTGACCTCATCTCTGCACCTGGGCTCTTTCTGGTTTCACCTCATTGCATCAGCTTAGGATGATTCAGCTTTTCTCTCATCTGCACATAATGGCAGCTCGTTAATGAAACATATATGGGTTCAGGCCTATAAAATTCTATACCCTGACACCCCTCCTAATTTTTATGCCTGAACACAGCATAATCCCAACACATTTACACATTATTTTTTAACTTTTAA